GGCACCGGAGAAAGAGGGTGGAGTTGCGCAAAGGCTTATACTCTAATAAATTTGTTAGTCTCTAAGGTGCCACAAGTACTCCTGTTCTTTTTCCTGAGGTGCTGAATCCTGCTGGAATTGGATCACTGGTACTGTATGGCTCCTCCTAACATAATGCTAGTTTCTGTGTAACCTACTGCAGATCAAAAGGGTTTCCCGAGATGATAGTTGTGTGGCAGTAACTTGGGAAATGGAAATGATTCCTTGCTTTTTTTGCAGAAAAGCAAACTCTGAAGAGTGCAAAACTGAAATGGAGAAACAGTCAATCCATTTTTGGGTAAAGCAGTGTCTTTGTCCTTTAGGGTCTGTGGAATGGGTGTGTTGCTAGGATTGTCTTAGTGTTTGGATAAACATTAATAGACCCAAACATCTTGGTATTTACATTTAGTTTTTATGGGTATAAAAGGGATATTTTTCCCCAAGGAGAGGCACTTTTGGAGTGAAATATCATGAAATCTGGTTGTCTTGTGATATTTTCACCATCCAGGAACTGAAATACCACTAGAAGATGACACCCTGCTTTATTTGGCCCCATAAATGGCGCTCAGAAGCATTAATAAAAGCTCCAATAGATGAAAAACCTAAAACAAACGTCAGAAACATAACTGCTACATCCCGTGCATGCCTCCTGATTGGTGTAGGATGGGCTGTTTAGTCTTTCCTAAGGATGGAGCTGGTGGTCACTCTGTTCTCTAAACTGACCCAGAGGCTGTATTCTCCATTGATTGCTCCCTCTATTACCCAGCCTGCCCAGCAGCGTGTTTGGTGGCTATGTCTGGGGTATCTATTTTGGTAGTCCCATTGTTTCTAAAGGTACTGAAGGGACTGGGGAACGTCCTGAGCCAAAGACTGCTCTGAAATTCTCAAATTAAAAATGAAGAATCTGACTTGTTGCCTGTTGCTTTCACTGGAATAAGAGCCGCGCCTTGTGGGAAATCAGATTTTGAAGGGCACAGAATTGAAATGGAGAAGATGTTTGTGCAAAAATTTCCTCTCCTTTATCTCTTCCTCTCTGTTTTGTCCTGCTTTAGTAGTGAGATTGGGAGTGAATTCTCTCATGGCCAAGAGAAAGTGCTTGTAGCTATAAATCTGTGATGGTGACACAAGTGGTTCTTGCTAAGAAGCATCATTTAGGATGCCAGATTGGGCTGTAAGTAGGCTGTGACATCTAAAACCCTGCCAGCGGGTATCAAAGTTGAGGCCAGTTCTTCCTTTGGAGAAGCAACATGGGTGTGTAGATGGAATGTGGGCCTGGGAGCCAGGAAGTCGAGGGTCAAAACCTTCATAAATTAGGACCCAAAATTTGGGCTGTTGCCTGACTCGGAAAAGCGCTGAGCTCTGCTCAGATCAAGGGGGAGGTGTTGGGTGCTCAGTACTCTTGGAAATCAGGCCAGTGGCTAGGTGTGGATTTAGGAGCCTGACTTTATACTCCTCCTGAAAATCCGGGCGCCCTGTGGTGTATCTTAAATCACTTCACCTAGGTGTCTCCCCATTTTACGCAGTGAGATAATGTGTCCTCACCTCTCAGAAGTGGTCAGTATTGTAGAAAGTTTTAGAGCTATAAAGGGCTGTGGAAGTGCTAAGTGGTCTTCTGTACATTTGGAGCGTGTCTGTCTTATGGTTCTGCATGTTTGACCCCAGTATTGATAAATATTGCTTCCATTTCTGCTTCTGTCTGCAACACGTCCCTCTCTTTCAAGTTCAGCTCTTACGAATATTGCTTTGTTTTGGTCTGAAATGCCAAACTGCGCTGGTTCAGACTCCTTCTCAAAGCTTTGTTCTCTTTCCTTCCCAGCGGATCGTTCGAAAGAGGTGCAGCAGATCAGAGAGCAGCATCCAAGCAAAATCCCGGTAAGTGCCAGACTTCCCTCTTGTGTGTTTTTGTTCAATTATTTTGACTGGATATCTGAGCAGAGCTGTCCGTTAGACAGTGCTGCATAGGGCAGAGCCTCTGCAGTCAGTAGCTATGGTTATAATGCTTCGGCCACCAAAGCCAACGCTAAACTGTTTAAAGGACTTTTTGCCCCAGTCTTTTTTTGTGTACATGAGCTGCTCAGTGCTAGAGAACCTCATTGTGAACAGAACAAACCGATGGCCATTACTGTTTCCGCTTCCTGCACCAGCCTTACTAAGAGTCAAACAGCTGATCTGATCTACAAACTACCTAAGTGGCATCCCTGCCTGAGAACAAGACTTTAAAATGCCCTGCTTGATTATTGCAGTAACTGACCCTTTAACCTGTCCTGGGTAATTTGATGGCTCCTCTTTTCAGCCTGATCAACTGAGGACAGGGGGAGGGTATCTTCTATTTAAGTGAGTTTTGGGCTGGATAATTCTTTGCATCCATTATGTGGTATGCCCCCCGTCAATTGCTTAATTGGACACAACATGGCTTAATAGAACGTGCAGGTGCCACCCAGGATTGAATGGTATCGAAGTGAAGTGCTGGCCAAAAGCCTTGCTATTGACACACCAGAAGGTGTTCAAGCGCCTCTGCTGCTTTTTGACTGTCTAGATTTGTCCCTGTTGGATTATGTCCTGGCTTCCCGCATGTTTCTTAGGATACTGTCAGCAATTGAAAGGTTCGTGTGCGCTCTCCCTCCATAACTTCCTTTTCTCTCTGGCCTGTCTGAGCTTGTTCTAGCCCCGCAGTGGACGTGCCCGTCAGTGGGGAGGAATATTCTCTGCTCAGTAGCTGCTTGCTTTTGAACTCCACTAAAACGGGCTCAGGACTGGCTTGAATTGGCATTCGTGATGCTGGGGCACGTGCCACGTGAAAGTACAGGATCTGCTTCTTGTCTGGTTAGCACCTGTCTTTGGATGGCTTCAGGCTTCTGGTTCAGTCTCATCTGGGTTCAGTTCCCAGCTCAGACTCCCTATGTGACCTTGGGCAAAGTCACTGAATCGCTGTCTCTGTTGGGGATACAACTGCTTCCCTCCTCCCACACATTGTCTGTCTTGTCTACTTGCATGGTAAGCCCTTTAAGGCAGGAACTGCTTCTTGCTTTGTGTACACCATGCCTGCCGTCATGGGCAATTTCACCCCATTATTAATACAGGGATGGTACTTAGCTTGTCTGTGTGGCACCTTACGCTCAAGGATCTCCAAGTCAAAGCACTTCTCAAATACTAATTTTCCATCCCGCAAATAAGTAAAAAATATCCATTTTTAAGTGTAGTGAGGCTGATGTGTGGTGCTAGTGTAATACCAGTAAGTTACAACAACATGGCGGGAGACAGGACTTTGCTCAGCTCCCAAAGCACCCTATGTTTAATTGTAGAAATGGATTTTTCGCTCAATGTGAGAGCACAAGATTGGCAATTAAGGTTTCCCAGACTCTATTCATGGCTCTGCCACTGCCAGTTTGTGGTCTTGAGCAAATCACATAACCTCTCCACACATCAGCCTCACTACACTTTTAAAATCAGATTGGATGTTTTGCTCTAGTCAGACTGGAATCAATTCAGGGAGGCCTGTGATATACAGCAGTTCAAACGCAACCATCCCTTCTGGCTTTATAATCTGTGGATGAAGTGCCCTATCGAAATTGCGGGCTGGAATTTAATTCCCTAAACAGAACTTGGCAGGACACTGAGGTTAGCACTTTTACACTTAAAAGGTGCTGGGGGATCTTTCTGGGCAATAAGTTGTCAGGACGTCAACTTTTCTCATCCAGGAGCTGGTACCAGCAGTACAGGGCTCTCTCAATCCACACTGGAGCACTGGTTCCTCAGACCTGTGGAGAAGAGTGCCCCCTCCTGAGTCACCAAACCCACTTCCTGCAGCTGCTTTTCTTTGGGCTCCCATCCAAATTCTGATAAGGCTGAACCATACTTATCTTGTGAGATTGAGAAGAAAACTGTGCAGCCATGCACCTCTTCATGGCTCAGCCACAGTTCCATCTCTGCACTGTGCTGCGAGGCTGCTTATCTGTCCAAACTCTACTGCCAACCCAAAGCATCCTTCAGCACTTCTACTGCTTGGGTAGAATCTTCTTCCTCTGGTCTCCTCCAGTGCTTTCCACATCAGCCGCTCACCTTCTGGTTTTCCATACACCCAGCGCCATCACTCCTTGCTGAACTGGCCATGGTCACTGGCTTCCAAACATATGACCACATGGAATTCTCTTGTGTAAATTCGCTGCTGTCTCATGGAGTCATGGCATGAAGGTCATCCATGGCGGTTGAAGTGAGTCCATCTCCCTTCCCTCCAGCTCCCCTGTGCACAGCTGGGTATTAGTAGCTGATTTTATGGCATAGTGTGGGGTGCTAATGGGATAGAACAGGGGTAGGCAACCTATGGCATGCATGCCAAAGGTGGCACGCAAGCTGATTTTCAGTGGCACTCACACTGCTTGGGCCCTGGCCACTGGTCTGGGGGGCTCTGCATTTTAATTTAATTTTAAATGAAGCTTCTTAAACATTTTAAAAACCTTATTTACTTTACATACAACATTAGTTTAGTTATATATTATAGACTTCGAGAAAGAGACCTTCTAAAAGCGTTAAAATGTATTACTGGCACGCAAAACCTTAAATCAGAGTAAATAAATGAAGACTCGGCACACCACTTCTGAAAGGTTGCCAACCCCTGGGATAGAATATCTTTCCTGCCGTTTCCAGAGAAATGTGAGCTGGTCACATGCTGCTTTCTCAGAAATTGCACTGAGAGCCCTTGTGGTTCGTGAACTCCAAAGAAGCGTTAATGCATTTTAACGAAGTACTGCCCTTTCACCGTTAAACTTTTATCTGCGTCGCTGTTAGTGCAGTATGCAGGGAGATGACTAGCAAAGCTAAAAGTTGCTCTTGTCGTTTTTGTTTTTGAGGGGTGTTTAACACCAATTGTTCAAGCCTGTAGTCATGTCACTCTGGGCTGTGATCTTGTCACATCTCAAAAGCAAAGCATAGTAAGGTCATTGTTTAGATGGGAAACCCAAGGAAAGCCCGGATTTCTGAGTGGCTACCATCCTGCCGGGCTCCTGCCCCAGTTTGGTGTTAGGCAGTGCTTTTGTTGGGAAGTGCCAGTTCAGATGTGAACAGGATCTCTGTCTTACATTGAGCCTGATTTTGAACTAGGCCTTAGCCCTTCTGCTATTGCACATGCTTTTTGTGTGCTTGCAAGTAGATGCAGATGCAGTTACGTAGTCAGGTTTCTAAATGGGAGTGATTGTGGGCCCAGTTAATAGCAATTTTTCACCTGCATTTAATTGTGGATACAAAATTGCTCCAGCAACATTGGAAGAGGTCTCTGAAAATTTAGGCCTGTATGGATAATACTGCATTAACTCTATTGTAAGGTTCGTGTTTGGGACCATTAACTGATGATTCCTTGTGCTGAGTCCTGTTGCACTGCAGTGAACCTGGTACTTGAGCTTTGTGAGGTTGTGACTTCCTTGGGGGAGTACAACAGGCTTGTTTTCTGTACAGCCTGAGCAATAGATGGCTTCTAAGGAGTTTGCCAAGCTACTCTCCCTCTGCCCCAATTGTCTTTCTCCATAGGCTCTTCTCTTGGGTCTGAGTCCATGCTCTTTAGGCAGCCACTCCAGATTCCAAGCCTGTTCATGGGAGGCTTGTGGGGTTTAAAATACCTTCTGAGTGAGCTGCTGTATTCCGCCCAGCATGCAGGTCTGTGGCTACAGTAGGAAACCTGCCTCCCAAAGGAATGTGATGTATATGCCCTGCATAATGCACTGACCTCATACAATGTAAAAAGCAACAGAGAGTCCTGTAGCACCTTTAAGACTAACAGATGTATTGGAGCATAAGCTTTCGTGGGTGAATGCCCACTTCGTCGGATGCATGCAAGTATCAGAGGGGTAGCCATGTTAGTCTGGATCTGTAAAAAGCAAACATGGCTACCCCTCTGATACTTCATACAATGTATTCATGTGCTTATGAGGGGAGCTCAGAGACTAGGGGGATGAGGGGAGTATCTGAACTGGAGTAGAGTGAAATAGGATATCGACCCCTCTTCAGTACAGAGTGGGCTGGGACAAACCACCGTTAGAACAGAGAGGCCAAGGATTGGATGGGCCATGAAATATGGGGTTTGTTTAGTCTGGGAAAGAAAAGACTGAGAGGAGACATAACAGTTTTCAAGTACATAAAAGGTTGTTACAAGGAAGAGGGAGAAAAATTGTTGTTAACCTCTGAGGATAGGACAAGAAGCAATGGGCTTAAATTGCAGCAAGGGTGGTTTACGTTGGACATTAGGAAAAACTTCCTAACTGTCAGGCTGGTTAAGCACTGGAATAAATTGCCCCGGGAGGTTGTGGAATCTCCATCATTGGAGATTTTTAAGAGCGGGTTAGACAAACATCTGTCATCGATGGTCCTGACATGAGTGCAGGGGACTAGACTAGATGACCTCTCGAGGTCCCTTCCAGTTCTGATTCTATGAAGATGGCAATATCCCCTCGCCCCCGTAGCCTGTCCCTCCAAAACCAGGATGAGGAGGTGTGAGGCTGCATGTGCTATTTTGTAGTGTTGGCTCAGGGCTCTTTTCAGGGCCTTTCGCCTGCATTACGTTCCCGTTATTCCTTAGGTAACACCCAGATTCCTTGTTCAGGATCTGGGCTGCTTTGTGCTAGGCACTCTACAGAATAGACACTGAGGCATTTGAAATCTAAGAAGATGAGCAACATGCAAAAGGAGGAGGGAGGCACTTCTATATGTGTCTTTTGTGGTTCTTTTAGGGTGTAATCTTTGGTTTTATAATTCCATCCATAGCTGAATAAGGCATGTTCCAGTCGCCTCCAAACCACCTGGCCCTGCGACCCCTTAGTCTGCTTATTCAAATGTTAACTGAGTCCTTGAAACAAAATCCCTAGAAGTTGTTGCGACGGACCATA